ATTTTGACATGATATATTCATATATCAATAAATTTTGGATTGACCAATTGCTTGTTTTGTACGAGTAATCGTCGAAGTTTGGATTGACATAGATTCCTATCACCTGATATTAATCCGTCTAAAGTGAATTATATCCGACTTGAATGATTTTAATCCTTTTTGATATCGTATTTTTGGTACAGAAATCCCGATCGATTCGGATAATTTTTTTTATAATCGGTTTTAATCAAACATTTTCGGCAGGGAAACCATTGGAGCAATAAGCACAATCGAAAAAGATTATATTCCCGATGTTAAACTTAATACTAGTAAATTATGCGAAGTCCTTAAGGCAATGCTGGAAGGTCGGCCAAATTTGTACGAGGTCGATAAAGCAGTCTGGTAGGTAGTCATTTTTACTGCGGTACGAACGGAAATTATAAATTAAATTCCTCAGTACGATTAAATTTATAAACTTGAAAAAAATAGCGGAACACGACGTTCTCGTTCTCATTCACGTAATGATCGACTTTCAAACTTGATGTAACCTTATATCTTCCACATTTATAAAAACATTATGCGTGCGAATTATAGTATGTAAGATTACATTAGTTTAAGTTTAATTTTATTCAAGATATTCCAATTTTTCTTTTATACTAAAAAAATACATATATCTATATATATTATATAACATCTGATATATGTATCTTCAGGTTAAAGTTATATTATTTGTCACTAAGTTACAACTATTAGATAATAAGAAATTGAGTTTGACGAATCAAGAAAGATCTTCAATTTAAGGGAGAAGGTGTTACGTGCCGCGACGCAACGACGTCGCACGTTATCGATAGGTCTTCTTGAGTTCCTAGGCTGACCTTATGTTTGGGTCCGTACCCTAATAAGCCTAACCATAATAAACATAAATGCTTACACCTTCCGTATCTACTGTTTACTTTATATAAACGCTCCACCCGCGAGAAACTTCTAAACGAAGATCTCTCTTGAGCGGACAGTTCAGTTCTATGTCGTCTCTCGTAGCGAATACACTTCGCCTTGTAATTGTCCAGAATAAAGTATTCAGAATAAAGTATTTTGTAAGTGAACGGTTGTTGATTTACTTCGGTATTATACTGTTGACTTGATCGTTTAGACGACACAGCGGAAGTTGAGTTTTATAAACTGTTTATTTCAATAAAAAGGTATACAAGGTTTTTGGAATATAAATATATAGTTGTCACAGAGAAAGAAGCGTGACCATTAAGTATGACGAACAGAAAGTTGGAAAGATATAGAAAGACGACAGTAACTCAAATCTGAAAGTACAAAGAAGGCGCTAGCTAAACTTAATCTTTCAGTTACAAAAAGAATAAAATAAAATCATGACATTGAACAAAATACTAATAATTTAACACCTCCTCTCAAGGTTATGATTATAGTATTACTTAAATCCGATTAAACTGAGTCCAGATACGTGCTGACGTGTTTTAGTAGCTTCAAGTGGTTTTGTTAAAATGTCAGCGACCATCTCTGATGTTGGACAGTACTTAAAAACAATATGTTTGTTTGTTTTTAGTTCCTTACAAAAATGGTATTTTGTGTCTGCATGCTTTGTCCTGTTTGATATTTTCTCGGAATCCAACATCTTAAGACAGCTTTGGTTGTCCTCGTATAATATACATGGTTCCTGGAGTTTAATATTAAAATCCTTCAACAGACGATCAATCCATGTAGCTTCTTGACAGGCTTTTGCTAACGCAACATACTCAGCCTCGGTCGAAGATAAGGCTACACATGTTTGTTTACGACTTGCCCAACTAATTGGTGCTCCATATAGCTTAAAGACGAATCCTGAGTTTGATTTTCTATCCGTCACATCTCCAGCCCAGTTAGCATCAGCATATCCGATTAAGGCAGTTTGTTCATTGATATTATTGTCACCTAATTTCAGACGCAAAAGCTGAGAACTCTTGATATATCTAATTACATGCTTCACTTCTTCCCAATCTGCTTCAATGGGTGCGTTTATTTTTCTACTTAAGATGGACGTTGCTGCCGCAATATCTGGCCGAGTATAAGTTGATAGATACAACAACGCTCCTATTGCACTACGATAATGCTTGTTGTTGGGCAACTTCTCTGATAATTCTTTAAATTTTTCATAAACTGGATCAAGCGGAATTTTAGATGACTTTGCATCCTTCAATCCAAAACGTTCAACAATTCGATCTACGTATGCACGCTGATGTATGGCAAACATCCCATCCGACTCTCGTTCAATATGAATTCCAAGATAAAATTTTAACTCACCGAGACAGCAGGTCGAAAACTTGATTGAGTTTATCTCCCAATTGTTTAATCCAAGTCTCGTTATCACTTGCGATGATAAGGTCGTCGACATATATAAGAATATATGTCCATTTTCCATTTGTTTCTCTTGAATACAGACACTTGTCTGCATTGGCACGTTGGAAACCTTCTTTAGTCAATACTTCATGAATCTTCTGGTTCCATGCTCTTGCCGATTGTTTTAATCCGTAAATACTTCGTTGTAATTTACAAGTTCTTCTTTACCTTTAACTATAAAACCATTAGGCTGATTCATAAAGATCTCTTCCTCCAATTCGCCATTTAAGAATGCCGTTTTTATGTCATAATGTTGCATTGACATATTTCGCTTGCCTGCTACTGTTAATAACGTGCGAAATGTTGTTTGTTTTGCAACGGGGGCGAAAACTTCATCATAATCTTCTCCGTAAATTTGCGAAAAACCTTGCGCAACAAAACGTGCTCGATAACGACTAACATTTCCTTTGTCATCAATTTTTCGTTTGAAGACCCATTTTCCTTCAATTACCTTTCTATTTAGAGGCAGTTTTGTTAAGGTCCATACACGATTATACTGAAACGATGCCATTTCTTCTTCCATGGCTTTCTTCTATTGTTGGCTTTCTGGACTGCTCATGGCTTGCTCATATATCAGTGGTTCTTCAGGTATGAAGTTTGAAGCCAACTTACATGTTTCTATCAATCGTTTTGGTGGTATACCCTTTGTAGACCTCGATGAAGTACGGATGTATCCTTCTGCTTGTGATATTGGCGTATTATCCTCTTCAGGCTCTGGGACATTATTCTCTTCATGCTCTGGAGTATTATCCTCTTCGACTGCATTGTCGTTCATTTCGGAACAATCATCTTCGATATATACACCTGTATCCAAGCGAATGCTAGTATCATTTTGTTGATCATCTGCTTCAGGTATCTTTGATGCCATTTCTATATAACCCTTCTGATGAATCTTCCCAACAAATCTTACGGCGCGACTAATATATATTTTGTTAATGGTCGTATCGAGTAACCTATATCCTTTTATAGTTTCGGAGTAACCCACAAGCCGAAGTTCCAGTGCTTTATTATCCAACTTTCTCCTTTTTTTTATCTGGAATGTGCATAAAGACCTTGCATTCGAATGTTCGTAGATAATGGATGTTAGGGATACGACGAAACCAAAGTTCATATGGTGTTTTATCAATAGCTCTTGAAGGTAAGCGATTTTGCAAATAATTTGCAGTCATTACAGCTTCGCCCCAATAAGCGTAAAGTAGAGCAGCTTCGATCAACACGCATCGTGCCATCTCGGTTAGACTTCTATTTTTGCGTTCTGCAACTCCATTTTGTTGAGGGGAGTACGACGCTATCATTTGATGTACGATGCCATTATTCTTCAAGAAGATTTGCAGTTCGGTACTTAAGTACTCACAACCTTGATCCGTCCTCAATATTTTTGGCTTGCGTCCAAATTGTGTATTACACCAACATACGAACTCCTTCACCTTATTAGCCGCATTACTCTTCTTTTCCAGTAGGTATACGAAACAATAACGACTAAAATCATCGATTAATGTCATTATGTAACGTTTTCCACCCGGTGTCTTTGTTTGCATAGGTCCACAAACCCAGTAAGAAATGATACTTCGAATCGATATCGATTTGACATCAAAACCATTTTATCAAAATTATATCAATTTAAACATCGATTTTGATTCAATCGTGTTCGTAATTTTGAATGCCAGTGAGAAACGATCGCCAATTTGATATCGAATCGATGTCGAATTGATATCGATACGATGATTTCGACATCAATTCGACATCGATTCGACATCGAATTGAAAACTATTTCTCACTGCCTAAAAAATATACTTAATTAATTAATACATAATAAATTTTGTTATAGAAAAGGTACAGTAAAATAAATTTTTCTCCATAAATTTGTAATAATTCTGCTATATTAAATATAAATATATTTATATAAA